TGACTCTCCTTTATTCATTAAGAACCATCCATTGCCCTAGCCGGGTTGGCTCAGTGGATAGAGCATCAGGTTAAGTGGATAAGGGTCCCAGGTTCAATTCTGGTAAAGGGCACATGCTTCTGTGTGGGCTCAACCCCTCAGCAGAGGGCAGGCAGGAGGCAGACAATCAATAATTCTCTCATCATTGATGTTTCTGTCTCTCTCTCCCTTCCTTTCTGAAATTATTATTTTTTTTTTAAAGAACTCATCGCCGAAATTGGTTTGGCTCAGTGGATAGAGCGTTGGCCTGCGGACTGAAAGGTCTCAGGTTGATTCCGGTCAAGGGCATGTATCTTGGTTGTGGGTACATCCACAGTGGGGGGGGGGGGTGGGGGTGCAGGAGACAGCTGATCGATATCTCTCTCATTGATGTTTCTAACTATCCCTCTCTCTTCCTCTCTATAAAAAAATCAATAAAAAAAAATTTTTTTTAAAAAGAACTTATCCATTTTCAAAGATCTTTTTGATAGAGAAGTTGTAGAGAATATAAATGGCTCATTCAAGGACCAGACCAATGACACACACACAATACTTCCTACTCCCATTTTTGGTCAGAGCTCTTTCTACTCCCATTTTTTTTTTTCCCCTCCTTACCTTGACAGATGTTCTTTTCTAGAAATTTGTATACCCTTGAAAACATGAGGGGCAATTTATGGTAATTCCAGGTGGGGTGATTTGGTTTGGGAAAAGGCCATCAGAAACAATTTTCTCTGCCTCTGGCAATAAAAACCCAGACTTTGCCCCGTTTCATTTGTTCTGTGTTATCTATAACAGGAAGTCCCCTTATAAAATACCAGATTTCCAGTAGAGATTGTGACATAGAGTTCCCATCATAGATCCCAAAACCCAGCCACCTGGACTTGGAGGCAGCATGGCATAGAAGAGCCAAGTCCTAGATTCAGACAGACCTAGTAAGGTTTGTGCTCTGCTATAGACACCTGTGGTGGAAGAGCATTTAATGACATGGAGACGTGTAGGTGATGCCTTAAAGGGAAATGAGTACAATAGAATTTTATCTTTTTTTGTTCAAAGACATTTTCCCATAGTGAAGCACAACTTTAGGAAGTTGCATATCAAACAATATCCATGTTTCCTGTTAGGGAGAAGTGTTCATGTTATAAAGACATGTTTACTCATTTATCAACTCTTCATTGAGTGCCTTCTATTCAGCAGCCACTACACTAGATGTTGGGCATACATAGAGATGGGGTGGAGGGAATAAGCAGATCCAGGCTATGCTTTCATGAAAATGAGACCTGTACTTAGAGAGGGAAATGATTATACATACATAGAAGAATATCATGCTTATTTGATGTTAAAATCAGTACGATTCCAATAAACAAATGGGAAAAATTATGTGTACAAAAGGTATAATGAAAGAGAAAGCAAGGTGTTACTAATCCTCCTAAGATTGTTGATTCAAAACAAAAACAAAAACATCTATCCCAGGGACTAATATCATGACTCATCCCAGTCTGTCTTCCTTGAAATTAATATCAGATATGGCTCAGCTGTCAAAAGGTCCCCTGCACCTTTACTTCCTGTCCCTCCCTCCAATGATTCTTGGAATTGGGAGGACAAAAGGTATGGCCTCCCTCCTGGTTTTCCTACTGAACAAGCTAATCAGTAGGAATGTAAAAAGATAAACTATTTAAGTAAGTATAGGAGCTTCTAGTTCTGTTTGATGTCTCCCTTCTTATAAAGCCCACACCCCCTCATGAAGAAAGGACACTTTCCTCCTAGCTTGGCACATCTAATTCGAATTCTCTAGGCATCAGGAAACCTGGATTCAAACCTGTCTGTACTCAACCCTTTGTTTCTTCTCCCTGAGCCTCATCGCTCCTCTGAAGCTTCCTGGACTCTACCTGATGGGAAGAAGCAAGGAGAAGGACATGCTGGGGGACACAGTAGGGTCCAGTCACCAGCCCACCATCAGCGACAGCAGGGCCACCCTTAGAGTCCGGAACTGGTGTTGTCCATGTACAAAAAGGCTCTGCATCGTGTTTCAAAATATTTTATTTTTCTCCGTTTTAAATATTTGCAAAAAGGAGTAGTGAATTATAGACAATTCAAAACCCCAAATCTCTTATGGAATTGTCTAGTACTGCTAAAACAAAGAACTCATTTGCAGAGGAAAATGCTTTTTAAGTGCCAATAATTCCTCCTAAGTTTTAAGTAAAATTTCAAATCATCATCAACAAGTACATCTTATGACTTATCATGAAACCTTCTGTGCCGGTTAAGCTATTCAGATATCTAGATGGTTAAGCATGTTTTCCAATTTTATAAAACAGAAAAGGTTTTCAACCTGGGAGGACAATAAAATGCTGTGTCAAAATGAGACTCCTTTACCTTTCCATCCATTGGCAGGAATACCTAACACGGGGAATTTACCGCTTGTGGTTGAGCAAAGTCAAATGTTGAGATTTCCCGGAGAGCCTGTCTCAATCTGCCGAGTTAGCAAAATGAGGATTGCTTGTTTGGCTTTCTGGGTCCTGTTTTGGAACTCCCTGGTTTCTCTTACCTTCGGAGAGACATGGCTTACAACATAGTGGCTCCGCAAACAAAAAAGTCCTTTCAGGTCAAAGTGATTTGCCTTCCAGTTTTCCTCGAATTAAAATGGACTCTCTGCTTCAATGGAGATTCACACCTTTCTTCCCATAATCCCAAAACTGTACCCTCTGATCAGACCGCCTGAGTGGGCATTCTCCCCAGAATCAGGACCCTCCCTTCTCTGAAGCCCCCAACGTGATTCAAGAGCTCCCAGTTCACCATATCTTCTCCCAGGGATGGGAACTCACAGCAAGGAGCCCTGACCCCAGCAGATCTTAGAAGGGAAGCTGGGCCAGGTACCACTCATGAAGACTGGGATAATGATGACATGAGTCCCTGGTTGGTATAACTGCCCTTCTTGGCATATAGATGTGCTTATCTGCAGGCCCTGCACACTTGGGAAAGTGTGGAGACCTGGCATTTGGACCAGTGAGAAGGTTTCAGGATCAAGGAAGAATTGAGTCTGTGGCTTCCTGTGCTCTAACCGGCTGCAGCATGTCCCAGATCTGTTTCTCATCTTCCAGGCCTGCCACTTTTCCAACTCTAACCCTGGGGGCCCTCACAGAGAGGTGGAAAAATCATCAGAAAAGGAAATTCTTTGTGTTTCCTCAGGCCTTCACCACAACACCATCCCATCTCCAATGAGACTTATAACCTCCAAATCCTGACTCTTCCCCCCCCCCCTCCCGTCTTTCTTTAGTGCATGAGAACCAACACTTCAGCCTGCCTCTCAACTAGCATTCCTGCTTGGATGACTACACGTGCTTCCCTTCTACTAATGACGTGTATGGGTTTTCTGTTGTTGTTTTTTTCTCTTTTCAACATTTTGGGCTCTCTTTTCTGTTTGAAATACTTGTAACAATAGCTTTCTGTTTTAAAATATATGTTTTATTATTATGGTGAGGCCAACAAGTCAAGAGATGACTGACCTGAGAAGATAGTTTGTACTCTACCTGGTTTGGCTCAGTGGATAGACCATCGGCCTGTGGACCAAAGGTTCCTCAGTTTGATTCTGGTAAGGGCACTCACCTTGACTGCAGGCTCCTCCCCAATCCATGGCTCTGGTCCTGGCTCATGCAGGAGCCAATCAATAAATGTCTTTTTCTCACATTGATATTTCGTTCCGTCTTTCCCTCTTTTTTCCACTCTTCCTAAAAATTAATGAAAAAATGTCCTCGGTGAGGATTAAAAAAAAAGGGGGGGGGTGTACACACTTCTCTTTGAGCCCCAATTGCTCTACATGAAATTGTTTTATTCAGGCCTGGGGTAAAGAGGACCTTCAAAGCTATCTGGTTCTCCTTTCCTGGTGACATAACAGTTGCTGCAAACATCTCAGTTCTATCCCCCTGACACCCTCTGCCCCAAAGACATCGTCAAACCCAAGCTCATGAATCTCAGAGTCCAGTACATGTCCCCTCTTTGCACTTGTTTTTAAAATTTATTAACTATTCACGGGCCTTTATTCACCCACTAAGAACTAATTTGTTGCCTGGCCGGTATGCTCAGTGGTCAGCATCGACCAATAAACCAGGAGGTTTGATTCCTGGTCAGGGCACGTGCCTGGGTTGCAGGCTCCGGCACTGAAACCTGTCCACCCCCTGACTCCTCCAGCAGCCCCTGAGGAGCTGTGCTGACCCGCTGACACTTCAGACTCATAATAACCAGGGACAGACAGGGTGCCCATAGGGCAACACTGGACACAAAGAGCTTGTCCCCTCCTTTCCCCTGACTGGGAGCTGGCACGTCCCAGGTGGGCTGCAAAGTTATCATACAGCACTCCACTCCCACTGTGAGGGGTCTCCAGGACTGGGTGAGGGAAAGCAGAGGACTGCCACCCACTGCCCCCAGTCAGGAGCCAGCTTGGATAATACTCTTCTTTGTAGCTGAGCCAGCTGAGCAGGCCATTCTGTGCTCCGGAGCTGAGATCTGAGCATATGCAGTCAGAGTGATGGAAGGCACCTTCCAGGATCCCCGGTAGATTTGGTGAGCTAGCCTGTCGGTTTTGAAGCTCATGGGCTTTAGAATGAACTCAAGGGATTTCATTTCTGACACATCTGCCATCTGGCCCAGCAGGGACCATCCTGAGGGAATGACCAGCAAAGCAAGGTCCCAGTTGGAGGAGACAGCCCCTAACTGCACACCTTCCAACAGTCCGGGTAACACATCCTACAGCCCCTCACCCTTTCTCTCCACATCCAGGTGGCCCTGCCTTGGTCCCTCCAACTCTGACAGCAGAGCCGCCCCTGACCCATGGCTGCGGGGCGGAGCGAGTCTACTGTGTTTCTTCAGGATTGCACAACGGGAAAATGACCTGTGCATGAAGACAACCCCTACTGTCCAGTAAGTGTCCTTTGTACCTTTTTAGGAGAAATGACCCTGAGGGACTTTCCCCAGGTGCCAAAGCTGGCTTCTCTTCCCTCCCCAGGATCCAGCAAGGAGGGCTCAGCATCAATAAATAGCAGCCAGCTGTCCCCAGCAGGCAGGGACCAGTGGCTCCTCTCAACCAGAGACCAGGTAAAGGACCACTCCCACAAGGGCTTGCTCTCCAAACTTTACTCTGTGTTCTCTTTCCAGCAAGACTGTATTTTTATTTTAAAATAATTATTCTCTTCTGCAGTTGTGCTGTATGGGGTCTGTGTCGGCCGAGTGGCACAGGGTAATGCTTTTGGTCTCATTACAGGCTGCCCAGGAGAGTTTATTTGGTCCTGACTGCTCTGTTGCTCCCTTAGTGACACCTTGGTGACCTCCTAGACAGTCTTGGGTTCCGGGTTGATGGGTTCAGGATTGAGGACCATGGCTCTGCGTGAGGTCCTCCTGCAGTTTCCTAGATGGGCAGCCAGCATCTCAAGAGAACAAATGGAAATGCACAGCCGGGCTACCTTTGACGTACAAATCCCCAAAGGAGGGTGTCAGTCCTGCCTGTGTCTCTCTAACCCTCCTCTCTCATTTCAGCACCATGAAGCTTTTCACGGGCCTCCTGTTCTGCTCCTTGGTCCTGGGAGTCAGCAGTGAGAGCTGGTTTGAATTCATTGGCCAGGCTTATGAAGGTAAAGTCCTTTGGGGAGACGAGGGAGACGCAGAACACATGACCACTAGGATTCACCCTGAGTGCCCTTCAGGGTTGAGCTACTGTGTTAGCTTGTGTTGCCCGATGTGGTGGAATGTGCCAGGTGCCTCAGGAGCTTTTTATCAAACAGAGGAAAAACCATAGGTCTTACCTCAATCAGTTACTAGAGAAGGAACAATCAGCTGAAGGGTAAGTTTAGGACTTGAAATGGTGTGCTATTTCCCTCAGACCAAACTGCACCAAGTGTAATTAAAGCTACCCATCTTTTCTTCCCCTCCCCCCACTCCCTTTTTCTTGCTTTCTCCCTCCCTTCCATTTCCTAACCGGGTAGTATAGTGAGACCTGCAGCTTAGGTCTTGCTGGGCCTTCCAGTGGTTGGTGACAATATCCCTATTTCAGTCTGTTTCCCACCCTTTTCCATCTTTTTTAACTGACCAAAGGGAATACTCATTGGGCCTCCTCTAGAAACTCAGCACTTCCATGCAACTTAAGGTGACCAACTCTCCTGGTGTGCCTGGGTCTGGCGAGTTTTTCATGACTCTTTCAGTGCTAACTGGAACAGTTCTGGTCAACCGGGGACAGTCAGTCACAAGTCTAAGTGGAGAATAACTTGGTGGGCAGGCATCTTCCCCTACTTTGAAGCTTAGAGCAGCTGACTCAGGGAACCTGGGACTACTCATCAGTCAGCAGGTGGCAGGGCAGAGTGTGAACCCAGCTGTGCAGGAGGCCAAAGTCTTGCCAGGCAGATGTGTCTGAGCACCGCTTCCTAGAGCTCAGAGGTCCCCAATCCCAGCTACCTGAGGGAATCACCTGGAGACATTAAAATGACGGAGGCCTGGGACCCACCCCCACAGAGTCTGAGGTGATGGCCTGAGATGTGGCATGGGCCTTCCTCAGTCTCCCCAGGCGATGAGAAGGTGCAGCCAAGGCTGAGACACAGGCCCCTGCTCTAGCGCTAGCCTGCTCACAGCATCAGTCCAGTCTGTGTGGGTGGATTCCAGGATGGCACGTATGCCCCTCACACTCAGAGGGACTCACCTCAGGATTCCCAGCATTCTGCCTGCAACACTCCGATTCTTAGGGTCAGGCAGAAGTGCTGTATGCCTGCACCTTTCTCACAATCTGCTTTCCATGTCACCACCAGGCTCAGTGAGTCCCCTGACACTATCCTATGTAGCTTCTCTCCATATCCCAGAACTTCTTCATCCTGAGCCCCTTGGTGCCCCAGAGACATGTGGCAATGTGGGAAACACTGCTGGTTGTCACAGGGGGGTAGGCTGCTTCACCTAGTGGGCAGAGAGGTGGGAATTCCGGGGAACCTCCCACCTTACTCAGGAAGGCCCTGAACACAAAGGATTCTCTGGCCCCAAATTTCAGCAGCACTGACATTGAAATCCTGTTCTGTCATGTGGCCTCCCTGTCTCCTTTAAACACATGCCCCAGAGGCCTAAGTGAGCTGGAGCCCACAGATAGCATGACAGGCATCAGACCACCAGGGCCAACCCAGCTGTGCCCCCACCTAAATGTCTCTCCTTAGAGTCACCTGGGGAAGCCAACTTGGCCTGGAGAATGTCTTCTCAACCTGTGGTCTCCAGGGTGCCATGACCACAGGGTGAAACTGAATCAGTGGTCCATTTTTACTCCTTGATTCTACTCTAAGGAGTGTCACTGTTCATGGATATTTCACCTGATGTCTCTGTGTCACTGTTCATGAATATTTCACCTGATGTCTAGGAACCAAAGATATGGTGAGAGCCTATATGGACATGAGAGAAGCCAATTTTATAGGCGCAGACAAATACTTCCATGCCCGGGGGAACTATGACGCTGCCCGAAGGGGACCTGGTGGGGCCTGGGCTGCTGAAGTGATCAGGTAACCGGGCTCCTGGGGATGCAGGATGGGTAAGCAGAGCTTGGCTGACTGGGCATGTGGAGGGCATAGGCCCTAGAGAAGGAGCCTGTTGGGTCTGTGGGCTCCTCCTCCACCTTCTTCCTTCCACCTTCTCCATCCCTGCCCAGCACAGGGCCTGGGCTGCCAGCAGAGCCAGAGAATGGCTTGTGGGCCTGTCCCCCAAAAGAGAAACTGAGGGCCAAAGACTGATTCCCAGTCTCCCTTCTGGTGCTGTTCTCCCAGTGGGAGGGAGTCACCCGGGGCTGAGTGGGCTGTGCCCAGGCAGGGTCAGTGCTGAGCCTCTTTCCAGGCTCCTCTCAGAGTCATTAATCCCTTGGAAAGGGGAGGGTGGGGCTGTTTCTCCTCAGACCCTGGTTCACCTCCTACCTGCCCTCCTCCATTCCAGTGATTTCAGAGAGGCTTATCCAAGAGTCACCGACCTTTTTAGGCATGGAGACAGCGGCCATGGATTGGAGGACTCAATGGCTGACCAGGAAGCCAACAGATGGGGCCGGAGTGGGAAAGACCCCAATCACTTCAGACCTCGTGGCCTGCCCGACAAGTACTGAGCCCCTTCGCTTGCTCTCAGGAGTTGGGGTGTGAGCCCCCTAAGGGCAGGGACCCGGAGCCATTGAGTTCTATATCCCCAGATGCTGACAGAGGGCACATGATGGATGTCTAATAAATGCTCAAGAGTTTGAATGTTGAAATCAATGTATTATTCTTCATTGTAAGGACTGGTCATTGATACCATGGGGTGATGGATGTAAAGCCATGGAAGATCACGCCTGTGCCTACATATCTGGGTGTAGGGGAACACAATCTCAAGTCATACAGGGCAGACACCCTGCACCAACTCTCCCCAAATCAGACCCTCTCTCCTCTGCTTTGTGCTATTTCAGGCCCTTCATGTCCAGGCCTCCAAACTTCCTGTCAATTTTGTCCAGTCACTGTCTCTGCCCCCCGGGTAGATATTAATAAGATTAACATTAATCTTATTAAAATTAAGTCGCTCAGTGGTCTCTGTCTGGGGTCGGGAGACACAGCCATGGGAGGATTAAACCATGGGATCCTGTTCTACATCTGCCGCCTTGATATTCTGTTCATTTCTGAGCAAATCCAATTATTCATCAATTTCTGTCCTTGAAATTCCTCCAGTGTGTTTTTATTGCCTCATTTCAAGCCTAAATGCAGATATAATGCCGTCTGACTTGTGAATATTTCCTCCCAGCTTCTGCATATTAGCCACCTCAAAATGGCGGAATTGGTAGTGAAGAGAGAGCAGGATAGAGAAGACACCTCTTATCTGTCAGGGTCCAGTTAGGAGACAGAAACCAGGTGGTCATTTGAAGAGGGAAATTTTCATAAGAGGATTATTAACTGACAATGTGATTCAGCATACACAGGGCTGGAAAGTCTGTAGCCCATTGGAAGGCTGTAATGATTGCTGGGTGTCAGAAGTCAGAGTTGATAAGCAAGAACTCTCATGAAACGTGGCAGGAAACTGCCCAGGGTTGCAGTTGCACTCACAGACCAGGTGGGGGCAGGAGGTAGAGAGCCTCTGAACTCCCTGGAAGCTAGCTGTGAAAGAGCCAGTGCTCTGAATTGAATTATGTCTGTGCCTCCTCTCTTCCCCAATGTATTATGTTGAAGTCCTAACTTCACTGTGGCTGTAATTGGATTAAGGAAGTAATTACGATTGCATGAGGTCACCAGTGTGGAATTCTTCACTAGCATTTCTCAGGCTTTTTTTTTTTTTTTTTTTTTTTTTTTAATCCCCCTTGAGTGGAACAGGATAACTAGAGTGGGCTGGAGTTGGTTATTTCCCTTCCCCAGGTCAGTTAGACACATCATACAGTTTCCCCTGAGTGCAGGACTGGTTAAGAACAGAGTACAGCCCCTGCTAGAAGACAGAGGGGGTTTTTCTAAGATATTTTTTTTGTGTGTGTGAGAACCTGGTTGAGCTCCTGAAGTTAAATCTCACAATATTGTAGAGAACCCCCTATAACTGAATCCCCCTAGAGGTTTTAACTCTCAGAGTTAACCCCACTGAGCCTCCAGCAATTCAACAATTCTAGTTCAGTTTCCCCCAGCAGTTTCAGCTCCCGAATTCCAGGAAGTCTGGATCCCTGGATCCATCTGTCTCCAATTACAGGCGCAGTGCTTTGCCCTGTGTCCTTGCCTCTAAGAAGATTCGATTTTTCATTCTGTTCAGCTTTTCACTTGTTGTTAGATGAAGTGGTGATGTCCAAGCTCCTTACATGCGGAACTGAAGCTGATCTTATTAATTGGGCACTTGAATATTTGTTCAATTTTCCATCAAAATTTGACAAATTCAGTTTTTCTGCACTTTGAACTTCATGTGCTGTTGCTCTTTATGATATTCTCTGTGTACTAGTTTCGGCAAAGAGGTGTGGGGCAGTGGCTAAGTATTTCTGCACACAGTAAAGGCTATCTTCTCCCTCGGATCAGTGTATGTCAGAATTTGCTGTATGGGCCACCCCCATTTCAATTTGCTGGGAGAACTTATAGAAACGGTGTGTTCCTAAGCCTCCTCTTAGAGGAGGAATAGAGCTAGGAATCAGCAGTTTGGACAATCACCTCGGATTATTTTATGCATAATACCAATGTGAACAGCTGTCTCAGATTTTGCTACCACCTAGTGTGAGGCACTTGGAGAAAATGCCCCATCCATCAGGAAAACATGATGAATGTCAAGCAGGCATCAAAGAAAGAACAGTCATTATGCCCTGACAGAAAGAGACTATTCCATAGAATCATCAAACACTAAGTATTTGAAATTATTAGGAAATTCTCCATAGAACAAAGTACATAAAGAAAAAGTAAAACTATCCATCATCATCTTTCTTTTTTTTAAATGAGTTAGCTTAAAGAAATCCTTGACAGGTAAGTCACAGCAGGATTCAGCAAATATTTATTGATTGAGCGATGTAGGCACTGGCAGCTCTTCCTCACACGTGTTTTCAGCATCTATATTCCCGCTAATCTTATCCTCACCCAAGGATATTTTCTCCATTGGTTTTTGGAGAGAGAAGAAGGGAGGGGGAAAGACAAAGAGAGAGAAACATCCGTGTGAGAGAGAGACATATCGATAGGCTGCCTCCCGCACCCATCCTTACCAGGGCAGGGAATTGAGCCTGCAACCAAGGTATGTTCTCTTGAGCAGAACTGAATCCAGAACCTTTCAGTCCAAAGGCCAATGTTCCATCTACTGAGTCAAACCAGCTAGGGCCCACTTATCTTACTTCTAAACTTGTTTTCATTGAAATATAACTTACATTCTCAGTGAACTTTTGTATGTCTAGAAGCCCACGTTACCACCATAAGATTAAGAAACATTGCTGAAACTGGTTTGGCTCAGTGGATAGAACATCGGCCTGGGGACTGAAAGTTCCCAGGTTCGATTCCGGTCAAGGTCATGTATATTAGTTGCCGGCACATCCCCGTAGGGGGTATGCAGGAGGTGGCTGATCGATGTTTCTAGCTCTCTATCCCTCTCCCTTCTTTTCTGTAAAAAAAATCAATAAAATATATATATATATTTTTAAAGAAATATTATATTTCCAGCACACCAGAGGATGCCTCATGCCCTCTGCCAGTTAAGGTCCCCCACCAAAAGCAAGCCCTCTTCTGACCTCTATCACTATAGATTATTTTTGCCTGCTTCTGATCTTCAAATAAAAGAAATAAAACAGAATGTTCTCTTTTGTATCTGGCTGTCTTCCACTCAACATTATATCTATTAGATTCATTCATCCATTTTTGCTTATAGCAATAGTTTGCTCTTGCTCATCAGTGCATCGTATTCCATTGTATAAGTATACCCTGCTTTATTAGCCCATTCTATGTGATTGAATTGCTAGGCTTTTTAAATTTAGACTGTTATGGGTAAGTCTACAGTAATGTTGATGTACTTGTACTTTGGTGGACACAGTAATCATTAATGTTGGGGGTACGTCATGTAAAATAAAACATTTTTATGTCCTGTAGAATGAAGCCTTAATCTTTAAATCTGTCATTCTGATTCATAATCTTACTTATTAATGTATTAATAATATGTTACTTTAATAACACATAATTATTCTTTCTGTCTTCTGCAAAGAATAAATTATGAATTTTCTTGGTTACATCACAAGAACTAAAATTTGTATTGTAGTAACATTACTTGTGTCCAGAACAGATCCAAATTCCTTTCAGCATTAATTCTTTCATCCTGACCACAACTCTATGAAGCCAGTAACATTACTTGCCTCATTTTATATTCATGGAAGTGCTCACGATTCTTCCTACTGTACCCGAGTCTAGGACTTAGTCCTCAGGTGCCATTCTTGGTCATGGTATCTTGTGGAACTTTTAAATTGTTTTCATTCTGTTTTTCTGACTCTTAATAGCTTTGGTGATCTATTCTTCACTTAAATCAATTGTATCAAGTGAATGGAGGTCTCTTGGGACTCTCAACAGCCTGGTCACACATGACTATTAGAGGAGGGGTACTATCTAATTCACTAAATAAACAAGGTCATTTTTTAGAATGAAAAAGGGATGTCACTATTAACAATTAGGCTTGCACAATAGTCACTGAGATGCTCCCAGAAAACCAAGACTCTGACTCATGGATTCTCTTGGGTCATCCATTTAAGGGCTGGAGATTCTATATCACCATAACAGGATGGCTTTATTTTACATAAGAAACAAGTGAAAATAGCTTGACTGACACTGTCTATTGTTCTAAGTGTGGCCCTTCCCAGAAGACAGAATACATGTGACAAAGGAAAAGGACTTGTGAACATCCCTATGAGGAGTTGGTTTCTCTTGGTGTCTACAAATTGTACTTGCTTTCTCTCCAGTGATTTTATCAAAGAGGAGAACAAGTAGAATACATCACACACACACACACACACACACACACACACACACACACACACACAAAGGCCAAAACTGGTTTGGCTCAGTGGATAGAGTGTCGGCCTGCAGACTGGAAGGTCCCGGGTTTGATTCCAGTCAAGGGCATGTACCTTGGTTGCGGGCACATCCCCAGGAGGGGGTGTGCAAGAGGCAGCTGATTGATGATTCTCTCTCATCGATGTTTCTCTCTATCACTCTCTCTTCCTCTCTGTGAAAAATCAATAAAAATTTAAAAATTTTTAAAAAATAGAGAGTGCATATCTAGCATTGATTGGTGCAAAGACAGTCAAAGAATTACAACAGGATGTAATCTCGGGCCCACCATTGCTGCCCTGAGGAAGTAGGAGAACGAGGCTGTGGACACTACATGCCCTCCTTTAGGAAGCAGTCCTCCAAGCATACCCATGACCAATGGCTATGCAGGGTTGACAACTGCCCCCTTTCTCCATCATGTCTCCTCCTAGGACCAAGTGAGCCAATGCAGCTCAGGCACCTGGACTATCCAGACCTCAGGAACCTACCTTTCCCAGGAAAGGTTGTGCAGGGAACATCTGAATGTTGCTTAGATTGCTTTTGATAAGGACCAAAGGCACAGGAAAGTCCTCGACAGCTATTTGCTTTATAATTTTTTTAAATATATTTTTAAAAATGATTTTACACAGAAAGGAATTGAAAGGGATAGAGAGTTAGAAACATCGATGAGAGAGAAACATCGACCAGCTGCCTCTTGCACATCCCCCACTGGGGATGTGCCCGCAACCAAGGTACATGCCCTTGACCGGAA